GAAGTGCTGCTGTGTTTGGCAAGTGGAGGCATGTCAAGGAAAGAGAAACTTATCCACTCTGATGCCCCTTCAGCTTTCTTGTGTTCATCACCAAGGATTGTGTACAGAGAGACGGGGCTGTACATAGAATGACTAGGGAAATTTATATTGTGTCGTTTCCTTTCCTGCATATCCAGTTCACGCTCGTTGCTGTTGCCATGTGAAACAATCCCAGCCTCTCGGTTTGTTCTGTTCTCGTTGACAGCTAACAGATTTCATTTTTGTGTGGTGGTGTTTCCTTCCAAACTACTCTTCTCTGTTGAGCTCTGTGTGTTTGGTCACTTCAGTAACCAGCATGATGCCGAGGAGCATGTCCACTGCTTCACCTCTTCTGAATAGGAAGGCCAGTCAGTGTGGTTGGGGAACATTTCTTCAGCTGGATCAAAGGAGTTGTGCTCTGTCTGATAAGATTTGACTTGACTTTCTGACTGGAAGTTCATCTTCTTTACGGTGTTTGAATACTCAGTTCAGTCTGCTGGAGTTGAGTTTCATCTCATGTCAGTACCTTTAAGCTGCACTGCTCTGAAAACTGTTCAGCGACTTCTCATACACTGGAGATATTGACAGGAGAGTCAATATACCCCCTGGGTAAAGGACAGGAGGTGAAACTCTTTCTGTTAACTGTACAATTGTTAATCCAGGAAGGAGGCAAAGCCTTAAATGGTTATGTGGGTTTACATAGAAATCTGAGGATAACATTTATCCTTTAGATATCTGAGCAAGGATAAATTTCTAACTAGAGCACAGCATATAAATCTGTATAAATTTTATTGTGCTCCCAGTGTGTAGGCAACTTTCTTATAGCACACTCCATTTTTTTTTCATGTGTTTCATACAGGAAACTGGGTTTATTTTGTTTCAAGTTAGTTTTTCCCCAGGAAAAACCCCACAAATTCAAATTTCAAATTTGTTCTCCAGTCAGTAAGCACTGGGAGAATAAACGTTGTGCTGTGCTATTATGAAGCTGGTATTGGAAACAATTATCAAACTTGAGTCTGATGTAGATTTTCAGTTTTTACAGAAGTGCACTTTAAGAAGAGGAAGATGAGTGATCCTGGTTAAAATTAAATTCAGTACATTGCTGTTAAGGTCAATGCTGCCATGGAGGTGATGATTACTTAATCCAAGGCTCCCACATTTTAACTGTTTTGATTGATATATTTAAAGACTATCCAACCAAAACCTGAATTTTTGGGCTTTGGCTGTAGAATGTTTCGATGGCTTAGCAGTGGTCATACTTGAGGGATTTCTGGGGTGTGTGAGGCCATGGATGAAGGCTGCTGTGTATTTTGGAGTGTGACAGGAGCAGTGTGTGGTGCCACTGCCTGAGCAGCAGTACTGAACTATACGATGTTGCCTCCAAAGAAGGGACAGACAACGGGCAGGTCTCCCCCGCGAGGAGCTGCAGGCAGAGCTGGCTGCTCTGCAGCCACAGCTCACTGTGTGCCCTTGAAAAACATCACTGCCCGCTCGTGCAGCCTGCAAATGGCAGTCTTCATCTGGCCATGCAAACCCAGAAGTTGTTTAACATGGTGATGCAGAGTTAGAATCTGGAACCTAAAAATGCGCCGGCCTAGAACTGAAAATTCCTCTGAAGAAAATGTGTGTTTTAGTTTGGCTTGGCTTCTCTTCTGCTCTGTACTTCATGGCATTCAGATTTGTGTCTGCAAAGTTCTCTGAAGCTCAGATTTGGAACACTTAGGGTGCACTGTTAATAGTTACTTTTCTCTTGATCCTAATAATTTCTTTGACATATAAAATGGTTTGTAAACTGAGAAAGCCTAGTTCATTCAAAATTAATACACAACAGATCTACTTAGCATTAGCTTTATTTTTCCTTCCAAATCAAATTTCTACAAGTTTTTGATGTATATTTTATTCAGATCTAAAATTGAAATTGCCGTAAAAGATTCTTGCTGATATTTCTAAAGGCTTGTTTTACTTTTCTTGAGATAAACCACCAGCAGCAAAATACACCTGCTAACAAAAAATTACACATTGCAGTAGATCCTTCTGTGTTCATTCATAGGAGAAAAACTATACAAATGTTTAACAGCCTCATAAAATTAGCATTCTCATCATAAAAGAAGTTACCTGGAAGAAACTGGAAGTTTCATATTTTAAATACAATGTTGATAAATGCATTAGATGATGATTTTCTTTTTAAATTATGTTTACATTGTAGTAATGTTTAAGTGGTTGTATATAATAATCTAAGGTGGTGTCTCTGTTTCATGTTCTTTTTTTATGTAGAAACCAGGGCAGATTGCTTGGCATTATATATTGAGTTTTCATTCTTGCTCCTTAGAACGATGCCTAGTTAATCTCTTTGTAAATCATGTTCTTACTCTGCAGAATAACTAATTCAACTTAAGTCTTTTAAGTATTCAGGGGATTTTTACTGCTTTGTGATAATGTTATTTTGTTATTCTCAGACTAAAAACATCAACAAAAATCTGACTTAAAAAAACCTAGTGGGCTACATTTAAAGTAAAACCATTAAAATGCATTTTGATCAACATGTGAAAACTAAGGAAATGGAACAATGACAAGAGTTTTTGCTGTTCTTTCTGTGATAAAAGATTTATGTGGTTCCTTTTATGAAATACGGCGACTCAGTCTTGGGAAATGCAGAAATGTGGAAATGCAGAAATGTCACCTGATAGCAGACATGAAGCACATTTTGAAACTTTTCTTGCTATTCTATAGGATCTTTAAAGTTGTGTTGCAATTTTTTTCCCCTTGTACTGTTTTATGACTTATAAGAAAAAAGAGATGGATGTCTCATCATTCTTAACTTAAACTTCCTGTAAACCAATGCTAAGTCAGACTAATGTGAGGCTTCATGGAACAAGAAGAAACAAATTTTCTGTGCTGAATGGCTGGACAGCCTTTTTCACAGTTTGGCTCACCTGCAGGCATAATGTTGCCTACATTGTGTGTTTATTTGTGGAACTAATAATGTTTTTTCTTAGGCTGACTTGCCTGGCCATCACTGAACTGCTGTGCAGGCAGTGTGGTGCTTCCACACCTCAAGACATGGGCTTGTGTCATCATTTCACCTGGGTGACTGCAGCAGGCTGGCCCAAGTTACATTCTCCCTGGTTAGGGTGGGAGGCCAGTTCTGTAAATTCTAGTTCTGCTCATTGCTGCAGTATTGCAAGTTGTGAATATATAGAGCCTCTAAAAAGGTGAAGAGCAGAGAGTTAGGAAAAAGTGGAAGTCTCAAAAATAGAAAATGAAATGTAAAACACTGCAGGTTACTTTAGTCCTAAAACCCCTAGTGCTCATTCTGAGATTGTGAGGAGAGCAGTGGCTCCTTGTTCTGTTCAAATCACCAAACATGCTGACATGAATTGCTCCCAGCTTGTGTATTCCCATTTCTTCACGGGTGGGTTGCTGCACCTGTGCAGTGTCCTGTTAAAGCTCCCTGTTGGGTTTCAGTGTGCCCAAGAGACAGGGCCAGGGGCTGAGGAAGGAGCTGCACCCTTCACTGCCCCTGTCTGCATTTCACCTGCTGCCCTGAGCAGGTCCTGATGGGGTTTCTGGGAGCGGAGCCTGCTGAAGATCATGGCTTAGAATTACACAGTGGAACAGAAGCCACTAATAAAAAGATGAATGGCATTAGATGTTTGTATTTCAGTGTATACAAATACTTTTGTATTTTTCCAACTTCTCAAAATTTTTTTGCAATGGCATCTCTTTTGCTATGACTGTAGTCTGCTGCAGGGATACCACAAGAACTGAGCTTTTACTAGAATTACTGAGAAGCTTTCCTCTAATATTTGCCAGCTCTTAGTTTTTATTGACATTCAGAGGTGCTTGGCACCTGAGATCAGGGTTCCTCATACTGTATTGCTTCCATCAAAGCCTCCTGTCCTCCTGAGCTGCTACACCTTCACCTCCTGGCTCATGGACTGGTAAGAGGTGGGCAGTGTCATTTTTGGAAATGAATTGTGTTCCACTTCCAAGAGAAAGAGGAGAAAGAAATGCCACCCTTGCACATAGTGCAGAATACTGTTCTACAGTAGTATGGAAGAGGATCATCATGTAGTTTGGTATCAGTGTTCTAGCAAGGAAACACAGGGGGGTTTTTTGTGTTTTTAACCCCAACCTTGATTTTTATTGGAGCACTTTCAGCAGTTAATTTCTGAGCAGGATGACAGTGAAATCCAAGGAGACTTGCCCACTCACTAGAGTGGAGCGTGGGTCATCTGCAGATGGCACAGTCCCTTTTGTCCACCTCCCTGTGGATTTTACTGGACTTTTTTCTGTACCTGTGGAACTGCTTTTTCAAAGCTATAATACCTTAGTCATGACATTGAGCCCTCCAAACCCTCTATATAAAATGAGCTTTCTGTTGCTAACCAGCTGTACCAACTGGTACTTTCACTTTTGGCATTAAGTAATGATTTGAAAAATGCACGTCTTACAGGAAGGTTTGGTGGCAGTGCCTTGGGCTGCCTGTTTCTTTGGGAAGTGTGGATGGTGTTAAGAACAAGCTGTTGGTGAAGCCTGCTTCTTCCAGAGAGGTGAGGAGGGCTCACAGCTCACAGGGTCAGATCCAGCCTGCGTAACCCCGGAGCTCCTGCTGGGTTTCCAATGGGAGCTTTGCCACTGCCACCACTGGAAGTGAGTTTGGGACCTGTGCAGAAGATTCTGAAGGAAAGAGGGATCTCAGGGCACCAGACATAGGAGTAACCAGCCCATTTGGAAGTGAAGAGTGCACAGTGAACATCTCTGACTCTATGCTTTCCCATACACATTCACTCAGCAACTGCTTTCACATTTCCCAGTCACGTTGCAATGGTATCTCACTGGTCACTGACAAGTGTTACACATATTGCTAGAAGACCAGGCAGCTAAAAGACTAAAATGCACTGTGCTTACTGTAAAAATTGGCTTCTTACATTGCTTCTTTTTATATGGTTAAAGAGATAGTTGTGCTTTAGATTTTTTCCTTTTTCTGTTCTTTTTTTAAAGAGGTCAAATGTATATGAAATGCATGTTATCCTGAACTTTTTGTTCGTACATCTTGGTGTCTGATCACCTGCATGAAGGACACAGTAGTGCCATGTCTGAGCTTGTTCTCTTGTGCTTGGTTGATATGAACTTCTCTAGATTGTTGAGTTTTCCCCAGGATAACTTTGTTTAATATTTACTTATTGGGAGACATCAAAAGAAAGCATCATGGTGGCCCTTTGTTTTCTTACAGTTGAAATACAAACAACAAAGCCTTGTGGTTTAAAGTTAATTTGTTAGTGTAAATAAATTTCTTGCCAATGAGTATTGTTGTTGTTAGACAACGAATGCAATAAAAAGAGAAATCCTGAATCTTTATTAGAATTTGTAATGAGTCCTCACTTTTCTGCCCTTTTCTTTGTCATTTCAGAAGAAATAGTAAATGGTGAGGATGACCAGACAGCTGCATGGGTCAGGCTGGGGGCCAGGGGAATATGTACCTTGCCCTGCTTGTTCTTCACTTCCTTCTGCTCAGCCAAAGATTATTTTAATCCCAGTTCTTAGCCAAATTGGCATGATTCACAAGCCCGCAAGTGGGTCTCATTTACACTCTGTAACTATGTAGAAAGAAGTAAAAAAAAAAGGAAAAAATTGGGTTTTTTCTTCATATGAAGGTGAAGTGTAGCATGCAGTCTTTTGCTGCAGGTTGATGTAAAAATAGGCTTTTCACGTTGGTACTGGTAAATTTTTATGTGTTTAAAAGATCTAGATTTATTTTGTTACATAAAAACATTTTACACTCAAGTGTAGGTTATTTATAATTGGCATTTTATACATTCAAAGTACAGCAGTACTTTTACTGAATATGTTTAATAAGTCTTTTATTTATTTGATTTTAGTAAAGCATTAAGTTAGGGAAAATCGAAGGGCACAGACTGTGCAATTTGTGTAGTCATTTCAGTGGATTTACATCTGGCAGAATCTAGGCCAAACAGAATCTGTGCACTTAATCTGTCTAACCCAGTTTGTGTTTCCCGATGACTGAATCATAAATCTTACCTTCCACTAATACAGGCACCACCTGCAAGAAATAAAGAGAGTCCTCAATCATAAAATTATTCTCTTAATTAAAATAGATATACTAAGATGCTCTGGGTCCACAACTGACACATAAAATGTGTCTGCCCAGCAGCTCCCTAGGCCTGGAGCCATCTGTACATATGTCTTTCCTTTTGTGCAAGTTGTCTCACATAGCTGCAGCTGGGTTTCAGAAATGCCCAGAACTGCTCCAGTCTCTACAGCATGTTAAACATGATGGGTTATGCCCTCCTTGGGCTGGCGAGCCTGGATTTTCCGTGTGCAGGTTACTTGGCAATTGGGAGGCCAGGCTTGAGCTGCATCTTGCACCCGGCTCTTTCTGCCCTGCGGCTGCCAGGGGAAGGAGCTGTGGCCCGGCGTGGCTCTTGCTGCACACACCTGCTGGCTGGCTGGGTCCTGCCCTGCTCCAGCTCCCAGCTCTGCCCTGCAAGGCTGGGAAGCCTGGGAGGAGGTTGGCAATGGGCTTCCTGCCCTCCTGGCCTCAGGGCAGATGTCACTGTCAGGAACAGCAGGCAGCTGGGATGTCTCTCCTCTCAAACACTGTAGGAAAAGGTAAGAGCCTTCACTTGCCCATGGTTCCATCTGTAGGCAGACCAACAGGAACATCTTCAGCACAGGAGCACTTTAGAATAGGAAAAAAGCCAGTGATGAGTGAAGACAGTTTTTATTTTCTGAAAAGCCAAAACCAATAAAAAAAAATAGAAGTATGGCAAGATCCGACAGCAAATAGATTTGCTCATTTAAAGATGTTTTAAGCAACAGTAAAATGTGAGAATAATGTTTTGGTGGGTTATTTTGCACTGCAGAGGGAAGTGGCTGTTGCCCTTCTACAACCAGAGAGTAAATCCAGGACCTGCAGAGTGACTTATTGGCATTTCAGCTGTGTCACTGCCACTGATGTGTCATGTAACTCTTTAGAACATAGCAGTTCAAAACAAAAAGTGGCACAATCCTAGAATAATCACTTTAGAATGCCAGTGCAGGCCACTGATGAGCGAATAGCCCAACCTCTCCTCGCTGTGAGAACTTCCTTCAGAGCAGTTCTTTCAGCCTGGGCTCCAGGAATGACATCTGTTCTTCATAGCTGAAAATGGATTACAAGTTCCTGTCAGAAAGTACACCACTTAGGAGGGAAGCTGAAAGTGTCCTGCAGGGAGAGAGGTTGCTAAGGAAGGAGCAGGAAAGCCAGAGTTAGGTAATGCCAAAGTTCTGCAAAGACAAAAGCTGCCCTCATTCAGGGCTGGCTCTGCTCTGTAGAAGGGCTGCACGCCATGGGCAGCAAAAGCCTCAGAACTGTGATCCAGACAGATGAGTCCTTGTCACCAAAGCTTCACAGGCAGGCAGTGAAACCTGGGCAGGGCTCAAGTCCCCAGATCAACTCAGCATTTTGGAGAGGAGCTGCAAGCACAGTTTGTGCACAGACCTGCTGAGGAACAAATCAATCAGCTGTGTGATTTACTGACGCACAGCTGCCCCTGCAGCCATCACTGAGCCCTGCAGCCGGTGCTGTTGGGGTACAAAACACAAAGAGCAGGGACCACTGTTGGTACTGGGTGTGTGTGGGTGCTGGCCATGGCAGCAGAGGGAAGCTGCTGCCATTTGGAAGACCCAGCAGGCCCTGTTCTTCAGCCCCTCACAGCTCTTGTGCCCAGGGATGTGCCTTACACCATGGTGGCTGTGCCAGCAGCCAGGGGCCATGTGAGGCCTTGGGGTGAGGCAGAGCTTTGTGGGGCAGGAGGGGATGTGGCAGGACCCACAGCCCACTCAGCTGTGCAGAGGGCGTGGGGTGACACCAGGCACAAGCCCTGGCACTGGCTTCCTGCTCATTAGAGCTCAGGAAAGGAGCAGTTTCTCTTTCCCTACCACTGGGTGAAAGCCATTAGGCTCATTAGAAAGGAAAGGTGCAGAAGCCAAGAGGTGTCAGTACACACATTTGCTGCTCAGGGCCCTGCTCCCCCAAACCTCAGCCTGCAGCACTGCTTCTTCCCAGCCAGAACAGCAGAACACACACAGAGGGTTTGCACATACTCCACATCCTATCTCAGTATCTGGGCCACTACAGAGCAGGTTGTTTGGTCTGTCTTAAAGGCAGAAGCACTCCTGTGTTTTCTGAACTCTCCATGTTCTGTTCAGACCAGAGGGGCTGTGGCTGGTGCTGGAGCAGAGGCAGGAGGAACAGCAAAGCCACCTTGGCAATCAGCACCCAGGGACTGGCGTTCTCCTCCCATGATTGCACTTCAGGAGCAGTCTTTTTTCTGCACAGTGGTGGAAGAACTGCTGTGAGGAAAATCTACTGCACAGCTGAAAGGTGCAGAGGGACTGGTGGCCCTCAGGGATGTCTGCCTGGTGGCAGCATTTGGAGGGGCTGCCAAGATGCTGGCAAGGGCCAGTGCAGGCAGGTGCAGGCACAGTGGCAAGCCCAGCTGGAGATCCCACATGTAGCACAGAGCCTTCAGCTGAATGTCAGCAACTCTGAAAAACTGGAGAGCTGATCACAGCTGGGTGCTCAGAAAGTGCAGCAGGAGCTGCTCTGAGGGTAAGGGCATCTACACTAATGCAAGGAGAGCTCACTCCATGAGCTCCAGCTTCAAAGGACACTGAGTTCAGTTCATTGCAAATGACTGCTAACATCCGCCCAAAAACACTAGCTGAAGGAAACCTGGGGGGCTTCTGGTACTGCAAAATGTCAGTAACTGATGCCAGGTAAACCTGAAGGGCAGCCTGGTGCACAGCAGTGCTGCGGGAATCAGCTCCACAGCAGCTGAAGTTAAACACAGAACAGTGTGACCATGGCTTGGGGGAGTCACTGCACAGTGCCCAGAAATGCTCCCTTTGTAGTGACAGACCATAGGAACTGCTAACGCACTTCCTGCTGAAGGTGTGCAGGAGATGTTTCCCACTCTTTAAGAGAAAAAAAAGATTTTCTAAACTCCCTTAGAAAGATCCAGTCAGAAACCTCTCCAAAGTGATGCCCTACTCTTTTCTCATAGGATTAAAACAAATTTATGAAACTGAAGTAACACTGGGAAATGGCTTTAAGGAGGAAGAGGAAATGAATGAGATGAAAATGACATTTATTCTCCTTCCAGTTATTCTGGAAGCATTAGGGAAAGCTAACAAGAAGGTTTGGAAGAAAAACCCCTAGCACAGTCCCTGGGAAGGCCCAGGAGTCAGTGACAAGAATGCACACCACACTGATAGTCAGCAATTCTCATTTACAAAATCAGTTTTCTCAAGGGGGGAAAAAACCACCAAACAACAATCCAGAAATCCAGCCAGCACATAGCTCAGTGTCTGACAGTTTAGTCATTTACAATCTGAAACTGAACTTCAATTCAATGTTAACAACATGGGGTCCTCCCCATTACACAGATAAACTAATTTCTCACCTTCAATTCCATGTCCTTTACTATTGTGTAGAAGTCTTACTTTGGAGAGGAAGGCTACAATACATTTCCATTACTGTAGTTAACCTTTATTGGAACAGTCTTGTTGTTAGCAGATCTAGCAGAACCTAAGCGAGTTCCCAAGGAATGAAATCCTTTCCACAGCAGCAGGCCTTGCCCGTGAGGAGCTATAGATGACAGAAGAGAGCTCTGTGGAAGACTGTGCCGATGAGCAGCTTTCCCTGGTGGGGGGATGCCACGGAGCTGCCCTGCAGCACGGAGCCGTCGTCAGCGTAGACGCGCGTCACCACGGGCTGCTCCGAGAGGATGCTCTGGATGCGCAGCACCTGCCAGGGCGGGGAGGTACAGCTGTGAGATGGTCACAGGTGAAAAGGCTCCAGGGAGAGGGGGAACATCAGCATGTTAGCTTAAACAGATCAGCTAGGATGACCAGCTGCTGATAATGGCAACCACGTGATTCCTCTGAGAGGGCCTTTAGTGAAACACAGATTTTTTTTTTTAATGTTGTTGTGCAACATCTGTAAGGAAGTCAGGTACTCATCCCCACCACTAGGAATGTGCACATTTTTTTCCAGACTAAGAGTTAGTTCATATCTTCTTATTTTCATGTTTTTCCCAGACAGAGTAAGCAGCTGCCTAGTATCAGAAATCTATTGCTATTGAACATGGTCATTTTGAGAAGTGTCTTACAGGGAGCTTCAGACAAGGCTGAAATCCAATGGACAACAGCCAGATGCACTCATAGTCACCATCACCCCAAAGCCAGTACCTCACTGATTTCATACAAAGAAGAATTACAGTGTTACCTACAGATGAACCACACTTGCACAAATTAATCATTCCTGTGGAAATATTTCAGGTCACACTTTGCACTCAGTCAATTATGTGCAGTTTGGCAAAGAGGTGCTGGCTCAGTAATTAATGCAGCTCATCAGAATCTGTGTGCACGTCCACAGCTGCACAGAAAGCAGGCTGAGGAGTCCAGAGTGACTGAGCTACTGGTTGGAAATTATTTAGTTGTTGCCCAAGGATCTGAATAGGTGTTTGTTAGTGAGTATATGTGTCTCAGGCTCTCACTTGGGAGCAGAAGCCAGCTTGGTCTTTGCTTTACAAAGGCAATTTGTGCCAGGCACTTTCTATGAAATGCAGTGAAGTTATACCAGCATGATTTGAACAAAATAACTTTCTGGCACAGACATAGCCAAGAGACCAGTGATGTCTCCCAAAAGGCACCTCAGATGCAGGAAGATTTTCAGGATCATAGTGGAACAGCTTCATCCCATTGGGATGACATCCTATCCAGATGTCTCCAGTGTGAGGGTCAATAGACAAGTTATCGACCAGCGTGTCCAGCTGCAGCGTCTAGCCAACACAGAAAGAAACAAAAAATTAAATCTATCAGAAATCCTGGAAGCAAACTACAACATAACCAACACACTTGTCTCATCTGACATAATTTGGACTAGTTTTTTTTTAATAAATACTTTTCCCCCCCACTTCTGTCTGTCTTTTCCCCTGGTATGCATCCTCCCCACCCCTGTGCTATGAGGAACCTGCTTGCTGCTCTGAGTATCCCCCATCAGCCCATCCACACCTACACTTCTTTGGATGCTTTCAGTGCTCTGACCCACACTGCCTGAGGCAGACTCCCACTACAGCTCCACAGCATACCAAGGATTCCTCCCTGTTGTTGGTGGGAGGGTGGGAGATCTGAAGCTCTGTAACGGGGTGTGCAGACACCTCTGCAAACCCACAGGAGGAGCCACCCAGACCAGAACTTTACAGATGATCATGCTAAAATCTCAAGCATTCATCAAAACTATTCTGTCCAAAATCCACATCTGCCTCTTTTTTACAGAACAGCAGCACCTTACCTTCACATGGGTTAAACTCCAGTTAGCATGTTTTTCCATGACATGGACATTGTGATCCAATACATCTGCAATATAGATGTACCTTCAAAAGGAAGAAAAGCACCTCAATATATGAGTGAACAGACACCAAAAGCAGACAGTTCCTCCTGTGCAAGCCCACACACCAACAGACATTGCCAGCAAGACACAGGGCACTGAAGCCAACCTGCTGAGGTGCCAGTGTAGCTTCACACTGTGTCAGTTCTCCATTATGACACTGAAATAAGCCTTGGAACCGGAAAATCACAACTTCAATTTATTTTTTTTTAAATCACCTGTCCACACCACAGGAGTGGTTGATTCAGTCATGCAGGTGTAGGACTGTAGAGCACTCCCTGCTTGCAGAAACCCTGCCCCATTAATCCTTGCAAGCAAGACACACAAACTCCTGTACCAGCTGGTTAAAATGCAGCAGCTGTTGACCTTGCTGCCTATAAAGTACCACACAATGCAGCAAACACTGCTGCTAAACACTGAGACAAAACTTGTGTGCTACAAACACTCTGCATCACTTGTGCTGCACAGGCAGCACCTTGCCTTACATGAACCACTTCAGACACCTGACCACCGAGGTACCAGGTGTACAAATGAAGATCTCCAGATACCTCTGTGTGATAAAACAAAATCTAATGTAAGGAGAAACTTACTTTCTATCAGGTGAAATGTTAATTCCATTGGCTGAATAAAACCCAGATGCTACTTCTTTAACTTCTTTTGGACTGTAGTAAACAACATTTGACCAGGTTAAACCCAAGAACATTTCTAAGAACATCAAGAGGAAGTCAGAGAAGTAGTGGTCATTGGTAGCATAGAAGCTGTCTGGTCCCATGGCTACTATGTCATTCACACTAAAAAAGAAATGAAGAGTGAAATTAAAAAATTAATTAAATGAGAGGTATGAAGTTGCATTTTAGGACTGCCCAGAATAGAGTCAGGACATGGCCATCAATACCATAAAGAGGCTGCAATTATAGATGTACTTCAAGTAGTCACCAAATTATTTAGATCCTTTTTACTTCTCTTTTCTATGAGCCAGGACAGTGCAGTGCTGAGACCTGAATAGGGCATAGGGCATCAGCTAGAGATCTGGCTACCTGTCTATAAGTACATGGAAATATTTTTTTTATTATTAGTAATATTATTCGTAGTATTATTAGTATTATTTTCTTTTTCATTACATTCAAGTAGAAATCAGAGAACGGGTAGGTGTTGTGACAACCTAATCAATCTGGCTGTTTATTTTACAATCATATTGCAGTAGGACAGACCAAAATATTTTTGTATTAAAAATAAGAAAAACAGAAAAAGCTAAATGTATGTTTATTTTTACAGTGTAGGATATCCAAACAAAAAATAAAATATCTGGAGATTCATGTCTGCAATGACCTAAGTGTGAGTTACATGACCAAAGGAGAAATGGATGCCAAGCTAATTCACTGGCATCAATCACAGCAGCGCTTAAGACTAATTTAGTGATACAACTATTAAAAATCTAATTTAGAGAACAGATTGGAGAAACACTGCTTTTTATTACACAGATAAGAAGTAATCAGTAAGAGAAACAGGGATGCTGGTTAAAGAGGAAATATATTAACAATAGCCTAAACCCAAAAATCGTCCTACACTGGATTTCACCGATGCAGCCTGATCTGTATTTGAGTCAATACCTTGTCAGAAGGTCATGTCGAATGGTTTTCAGGTGCACAAGAGAATTGTCATCTTCTACAAATTTAAACAACTCTACAGTGCTCTTCTGGTGGGGATGGTTCACCACAAAGAGGTACACGGTGTCATCTTGAAAAAGAAATGGAAGCAGCTGAATTCTCTGCAGCAATCTGTGTGTGTGAGCAGCCCAGCCCTGAGGCAGCCTCCAGCACAGGGCACATGCTGGGCTCTGTGCATTTCTCTCATGGCTAGCAGAGGCACAGGGACGAGTACCCACATCCTGCAAGATGCCTCTGCAACCACATCCAGACCTCCAGCTGCTTCTCTCCCAGGCTGGCTCTACAGGAAACTACTTTGTTAATAATAGATTTTTGCTATTTCTTCCAAGGAAGAAAGAAACCACCACCTCATCCTTATAGTGAAGCCACTGGGTTTTGCACTCTCTGAAACAGCCCCAGTCAGTTGGAAGAAGGGTTTGTGGCCAAGGCAGTTTGGGCTCTTGGGTTTGTCCGCCACATCCCTGGCAGAGTGGAAGGAGCATCCCTCTCCTGCATTCCATGCAAAGCTGCATCCCATCTGCCCAGGCCTTCTGGCAGGACCCAAATTAGCCACCACTGACTTTTCCAACACCTTCCCTTAAAGGGTGGGGGATGCAGGTCAAACTGCAACAATTGTTTTCTTTATACTTGCAGAATTCTACTTGCTCTGTTAAAAACCCCAATGAAAGGACAGGGAAAAAGATCCTTTATTGGTAGTCAGAGCCTGATGTAGGAGAACATGCCTTGGAGAAGAGAACCTGGCTTGGCCAAAGAGTAACAGGGGTTTTGGTAATTTACAGAGAGTTGATAATTTACTGTTTTGCCACAAAAGTTTCCATTCTGGGCACTACTAGTCAGTGAAGGATGTGTGTCCTCAAAACACCTTAACCCAGTGTGAGACAGATGTAAATGTAAAATCAATTTTCTGTGGCTTTCAACTCTAAATTTTACCATGTTTTCTTTCCTTTTAATATCCAGGGCATCCTTTTGTTTCAGACAGACTGAAATTATGTGCAAATGTGTTTCCTTTGGCAACTGACATTCAGAAAAGGGCAAAACAAAGGTAAAAAGCCCCAAGCCTTTTTGTCTCCCAGCAAGAACCACCATGGGGGTGCAGGGCAAGGCTGCAAAGGGATTCCTGACTGTGTTCTCTAGGCTGATATTTGCCACCATCTCAAGGTCTTTACCTCTGTCTATGTAGGTGCTGATTCCATGAGGGTTGAACGATGCCAGATCAAACCCTCGGCTGATTCTCAGTTCCACTGCTCTGGGATTGTCTTCATTCAAATCCATCAAAAATATTTCACCTGGCTTATCTGGAGCAAAGCTCTTTATTCCTGGATATTTCAAGCCCTGTAGAATCCAAACATAAGAAAAGAATTCCCAGATAAAAGGTAAACAGGAGCATCACAGGGCTGAAAAAGCTGGGGCCTTGATCAGACTTGCAAGCACACATGAAGATGTCCCATGGCCAGCCACCATAATTGCAAAGAGAAGGTTGAAAACTTAACTCTTGAAGGCAAAAAAACAACCAGGAACAGCAAAACCAATACATAAAATTTGGGGTTTTTTTAAGTTAGGGAATTAACACAGCTTCTTAACACGGCAGAGACATTTCAACATTTCAATGAAGTAGCATGAAAGAAAGCCAAGGTTACGTGGCCAGGTAAGTCACCTGTGGACAGGACACCTGTGTCAGAGCCAGCAACACCACCTCTGTGTCAAGCAGCATGCCTGCTGAGGGATATTACAGTAACCTTATGAGGTCACTGGGTGAGAGAAGGACGAGAATATTGTTCCTTGATCAAAAGGCTTGATTTATTGATATATAATACATAATACATTATAACTATACTAAAAGGAATAAAGAGAGAGCTTGCAGAGAGCTGCTATGCTAAGAATAGAATAGAAGGAATGAATAACAAAGTTCTGTGTTCAGGGAATCTCCCCTGAGCTGCTCCTGTGATTGGCCCTTAGTTGGAAACATGCAAGATGAGCCAATCACAGGATCACCTGCATATTTCACAACAGCTGATAACAATTTGTTTACATTCTTTTTCTGAAAGAAAATGGACAAATCCCAAAGAAAGGATTTCTATGAAGAAATGTCTGCGACAGAGGGGGATGACAGCTAAGCCACACAAGACTGGGCTGCTCTTTGGGAGCCAGTCAGACCTGTAGAAAAGAGCCCCTCCTGCTCCTTTCCCCCATGGCTTCTGCAGGAAAGGAAGCAGGCAAGCCCCAGCGCGGGGAGGTGGCATGGGTACTTACAGAGCTGATGAAAGCCAGTCCATTGGGAAGTATATCGATGTCTTCTGAACCAGTTTCTGCAAAACAGAGACAAACAGGGGGTTTCAGGTGACATCAAGCATCATGAATGACCCTTTCAGGCATGACTGCACACACGATGACGTTTGGTGGAAGTTTGGCCATTGCATTAAAAGTGGTAGCAGAAGACAGCACGTTGGGTTAGGAAATAGTACTGGGGTTCACCTCTTTTGGGGCCCAAGGGTGCCCCTGCAGTGGCCAGGCAGTCTCCTACCCAGCTCCAGCTGCCCCCAGATGTTGTGAGGTGAATCACCAGGTGTGGGATGAATCACCAGCTCCTGAGGATGTGTTCTGCAGCGAGCAATTAATGTGGGCACGGAGATTTCCAGGGTAGGAACATACCCTGACTCACTCCTCAGCCTTGCATAAGGCAGCTGTGGGAATTGTGCACACTAATTCTCCTGATTGAGCTCAGACACTTCACAAAAATGGATTGTCAAATATTTAGTTAAAGCTCTCAAGTGACAGAGAACCTACTATATCTGTAACAGCTAAGGGTTTTCATAGTTAGACTTCACTTTCAACTACAGGTAATTATTTCCAATATTGCCTATTGTTCCTGTAGCTCCTGTAATATTTTTCCCTTTTAAGAAAGGAAGATAAAATAAAAACTCTTTAGTAAGAACCGTTGAGCAATTTTAGGCTTTCATAAAGCACTCTCCAAAGAGCCTTTAGTCCAATGCTGAAGGCTGTTTGCCATCCCACATTTCCACCTCCTCCCTGAGAACCCTCCCCTCTTTTCTCCAAATCACCAGCAAAACCAGCATTTCTCACAAGTCACTTTCCAGATGATGAGGGAAACCACTCAGGAGCACTTGCTTAGAGAAAATTCTTCTGCAGGTTTTCTTTATCAGAGCCATCAACACTAAGTTTTTCCACCCAGCTTGTCCCATGTCCCACACCCCCTCCTGCTTTGCCATAACCATGTGTGAGCCTGCATGGCTCACACAATCCCTTGCACCTCAGCACCTCTTCCCAAGGAAGCACCTGCACATTTGAGCTGGGTTTGCTGTTTGCTTTTAAGCAACTCCTATTTATCCAAACACTAGTTTGCCTGGGTTGTAATTGATCCTGGGATCACTGGCAGCCTCTGTGGAGAGGAACCAGAACCCCAAATTCACCCATCCAGGAAAGTTCCTCCCCAGCTGAGCCCTGGGAAGATGCAGAGGCACAACTTCTCACTTCTGGCCAGGGCCAGCTGCTCCTCAGCCTCAGCAAGTTCCTCTTCCATCCCATGACAGCAATGAGCACAGTATCCCTGCCTTCTGAAGAGCAAATTGTCTGAAATGCATTTTGGAGGAGTCAGCTGTTATCCCACAGCTGGGTTTTGGTTCTGAATTTTGACTAACCCAAGCAGGAGACAACATCTGCACTGATGTGTCCAGAAACACTTAGAGCCTGTATTTACCAATTAAAGTTTTGAATTTGGGCTTTATTTTTCCTTTTTTTTTTTTTTTTCTCAGCTCAGCTTACACTCTGGTTTGAGCCACAAACTCCTTTCCCTTGCCCCAGTCTCTCCAAGCCTGGGTTAATTTATAAAATGGGGTTAGTGGTAATTCTCCACTTCCCAGGATTGCTGCAAAGCTAACAGCATAAATAAATGCTGAGAGGCTCAATTACCATGGTGACATGAGCTGGACAGACAGCTTTTACTGGCAGCACACACTGGTGAGTGAATAAACAGAGATATAATCATTTATCGCTACTGAATCGGCGAGGCTGCCAAGCAGAAAGATGAGCAGGCTAATTGGGAGCGGATCATTAAAAACTTTCCAAGTTTCCAGTGGAAGGAGCACACTGAGAGCCCTGCACCCAACTGCCCCAAGAGAAACTGCCTGGCAAAGCACATTTTGGGCGCTCCATGGCCAGCTCCTGGAATGTGTGGAAGTCAGGAGAGCAGAGGAATGCTGACTCAGCACAGCCCTGCTGATCCAGCCCCGGCCAGGGGCTGCAGGCACACGGCAGGGAAGCTCAGGGACTCTCTGCACGCCCTTCTGGGAGGGCTCTGTGCTGCTGCAGGCGCCCTGTGGGCCAGGAGAGTCAGGAGCTCACTCCTCAGGCATCACTTGCATGCACTCTTGTTGTTTAATCGTATCACTGAGCCCAGCTTGTCCATGGCATTATCTGAAGAGAGGTGGCATTTAAGAGAAATCAAAAGATAGTGTGAAAAACTGCTGCCTACTCTAGAAATGTTGCTCTTTATTCTTTATTTGTTGCTCTTTATTTCATCTTAGTATGATGTATTCGGCAGGTGTATCTAACAAAAAAACCCATCTGGGTTTCATGTACGAAAGTGTGACACCGTTTTGCCCACATCCCACGAACTGTTCCAAGATGCAAGTATTTCTAGCAACTTCTGTAGTAGCTTCTTGAACTTTGGGAATTAGTACAGGAGATATAGTTAGTTTATTATAAACCAGTAACATGATAAGGCATCAATAAACCTCAGAAACTGGTGTTTATTCTACAAATACAGCCTTTCCTACATATTTGAGAATGAGGCCCAGGACAAGCTGCAATTTTTGTTTGTTCAATGTTTGCATCTGTGCTTATATTGCACAATATTTGAAAAGCAGAATAGATAAAAGTCTTTAGAAAGATACAGAAAAGATGCAACTGTGCAGAAACAAAAAGGTCCACTAGAGAAATCTTCCATTTACTCTGTGTTTGCCTCGCTCACTTAGATCCATCACTTATATTTCATAGACTGTACCAGAGGTCTGCTCCTCCATGTACAGAATGGATGGATTAAGATTATTTTGCTCAGATCCAGATGATCCTGCTCTGGGATCTATGTCACATTTAAGAGTTCAGGAGGACTGATTTAAACATTAAAGACAGATTGTTTATTCAGCTTTATCCTAGTATTTTAAAGGAAAAAGGCCCAGGAGGCCAAGACATCCATGTACAAAGACATCCTAAGACAAAGTCACCCACACAAGCAACCATACAGATCCAAGAACAGCAGAGCCCCATGTCTGAACAGTACTACCTAGGCAGAATTTAAGCTTAAGGGGTCCTTGGTCACCTTGAGTGATTTAAGACCCCTGGTCACAGCAAATGTGTTTTAGAAGACATTTGAGTGAACATGCCAACTTTTCAGTTTGCACAATCCTTTGTTACTTCTCTTTCTGCCACACTGGGCCTGCTAAACTAATTCTTGGCATTTTTATTTTTCTAATGAGCAGTAAACTGCACAGCAAAGGCAAGGCAAGGTGCAGTTCTCTGTGTGAAGGGGCAGCATGAGAGCAGCCAGCAAGAAGCAGAAATGAAGCTCTGTAAATGGATCCACTGCCTCTAAGCAGAGACAGGTTCTCAGAAATAACCTAATCTGCATGTAAATATCAGGCACAAAAACCAAGATACTGTTCAGAAATGAAGCACAACTCTATCTGTCTTTTCCAGGTTTCCTTCTTTCCTCAACAGAACAATCATGTTGCAAAAGAAGTCTTATAATTATTGCAATATTGATATGCCTAAAAAATTACTCAGAAATTATTTTATATTAATCACTGCCAAACAAGCATCATTCATAGTCTTGTATGAGTAAACTACAGCTTAATCTAGAAGACCTGGAAAATTTTTTTCAATGCAATTTTTTCTGTATGTATTTTCGAGCACAGGAACTCTGCATATATGCATTCATAGCAGCAATTTGACTTTATAAAGATGTTTGAATCCTGACACAAGGAAGAAACAAGATTTATGACATTAACTCACTGACTCAGCAAGCTCATAGGCAAGGTTGTAAAAGCTCATCCAATGACTTTTTACACATGAAAAATCTAGACAAATTTCAACATAATTTAAGCCATTTCCAAAAATACTAAGGAAGGGAAAATTCTTAGCCATCAAGCCTGCATTGAGGTTTTCTGGGAGAATGGGAGACACAAAAAAGCAATCTATTTCAAAGCTATCAATTTTATAAACTGGTTATCCTAAGTGGAGAGAAAAAAAACCCAAGACATAAATATTGCTGTGTGCTAAACACACGGCCCAAAGTACAAAGTCAACATTGGAGCCACTCTGTTAAACCTCTCTGCAAACCAGACTAGGATGACAAACACGACCTCTCGCTCTTTGGAACCCACAGCTGCGTTGCACAACCGCGCCGAGCTCCCGGCACCAGGCGGCTCCCAAATATCCCAAAATGTGGCACTAAGGAGGGGCAGCCTGGCTGGCATTTAGCAGCCACTCCTTCCCCATGTGCCTATGGCCTTCCCCTAAGGCTTCCACCTGTGAAAAATGTGAATTTTATGATTGGCTTTTCACAAATACTAAAATGAATATTATATGTGTTGTGTTAGAAAGTAATGCTGTATTAATTCTCCCAAGTAGTGTGGTAAATATAGTTTTAGGTTATAACAAAATGTTAAAATAGAAACTATGCTGTGTAGGTTAGTTTTTTTCTAAAGAAAGGACTTGCACTGGGATAGCAGTCACAGGACACCTAAATCTTTCAGAGAAAGAGAATTGATTGCTCCATTATCAGGAGAAACAACCTTCTTTCCGCCTCACTTGGATAGGATGACGCTGTCAGCAATATGAGGAAGAAGTTGATGATGACCAGACAGAATCCTATTTTGAATGGAATTTATGCATCATGTATGGTGGTGTATGAATATTCAACAGGCTACTGTTTCTAAGGGTTAATCCTCTATTAACGTGTGTCCTTTTTTGGGCTGTGCTGCCCAGAAAAAGGTACCCAGACGTCCTTAACTCTTTGTTTCTCTTGTCTCATATTGTCCTAATTCAAATTGTCCGAATTATTATTACTCTAATTGTATTACTATTTTTATAACCATTATATTACTATTAAACTTTTAAAATTTTAGAAACAAATGATTGGCATTTTCCACACACCCTTGCAGCATTTCCCATCTCCAAGGCGTAACCAGCTGACAGCCTCCTGTAGGTACCTGCCTGAAGAGCCAGCACACCCTCATCTGAAAGCCAAATCATTTTCTAAGTGACTTAGCAAAGAAGTGTTTGTAAGATACTCAATTTTAAGAAAAGGAAAAGAAACTTAATACCGACTTACACCCAGCTAGCTTTTCAGTACTATTTTCTTCCTGCAGTTTCTCTCTATCTCCAAGTCCAAGCAGCAAATCAAAGTCAAATTAGCACTTTGTTTTTGGGATCAGGCTTGGAAGCTGGCTTTAAGAAGCCATTACAAAAGAGGCTGGGCAAAAGCAGTGCACTCAGTAATTTTGAGCACGTACCAATGCCTTTAATGAGCCGGCAGTTCGGGAGGCTCACCGGGGCTACTTCCCGTGAAGCATTGAGTCTGCTCCTGCAAGAGGAAAGAGCAGGGTTAAACAGCACACAGCCAGTTTGAAAACAGGTAACTTTCCTAGTTTTCAGCTTTATTGTCTGCCACATTGCAGCAACAAATCAGCCGTAAAATACTGAATAAGCAAACTCCAGAACCAACAACAGCAACTGCTCCAAATCACTGCAATGGTTACACATGACCACGGATTAAGTGATTCTTCTACTCTGAGTAACTTCAGAAACTTCATTTTGTGCATAAGCTCCAGCAACAAGCTTTCATGACCCACTGCAGCTCAGATGATAACATAACCACACTTTCTTCAGGTTTCAGACACCTAAATATAGAAGCACCCTGCAGTTAGGACCAACATTTCACATGAGGAGAGGGCAATCTTCTACTGCAGCCCACTGCCTATTTTTGGTGACCAGCAGTTGCACTTTCTTCAGTTTTTGTCTACATTCAAAGGTAGCAATAGCACTGTTGCAAGGCAGGAGCACTCTTTCCTTCACAACAAGCAGGAGTTGGTAGTACAGTTTTCAGCAATTACCCTGTGCCCTCCTCTCCACTCCTGGTAACCACCCCAAGCATTACCCTTCATCGGTGCTTATTTCATTCATGAATGTGCATGAAATTCCACCTCTGGCTCATACTTCACTGGAAAAACAGATACAGACAGGCAGACACAAGTTCATATTTCTCTGCTCCAAGCTGTTTGCAAATCTGCATGAGCACCACCTCACAATAACCAGGAGGTTTGACCATGCTGGTCTGCAGTGACACAAGAAAATATGTTGAATTTCTATGAATTCTATGTGCTAGAATAATTTTGTTTTCTGCCCAGAAGGAAGTATTTAACCTAACCTAGTAACACTTCTGCATGACTATGCATATGTCGAGGCTATTGCTGCAAACACAGGAAATTCTGAACGCAAAGATCCCATAGCAAAACCTTGCCATGTTTATGTTATGGTTTTAGGCATAAACATAAAGTAAACAGCAGTATCAGTCAGTGATATGAAAAATATGTGATACAGTTGAGCACTACGTGGTATGCCAGTCCTGCATTTTTTGAATCACTTAAATATGAATTGTAAATTGCTTCAATTTTGTATCACTGACACAGTTTGTTAATATAAGGCCAAAAGAAAATAAGAAAAAGAGTTTAAAAGTGCAGACAACTGCAAAGGAAAGGAGCCAAGTTAAACCCTCCCAAGCCCTCTCTGCCAGCACAGGAGAACTGACAGATCACGATGCTGGCTGCCAGCCCACAAACAGCGCAGGAAGGATCTCCCCCTGCTGCTCCCTCACCCACTGGCATCCTGGCACAGCCAAACCCACCAAACCCTCCAGGGTGGCTCAGGGGGATCCTGCCTGAAGCTGCACTGCTGCCTGCTTAGGGTTTTTCCCTTCCCTATTTTCAGCAGCCTTTCCCAGGCAGGCTGCAAGCCACCCCAAGCCAAAAGCACAGCAGGAACTCAGCCAGCAGCCAGCAGGGGATGATGATATCCCGACAGCATTCCCAGGGAAACACTTCATGGGCTGGAATGAGAGTAATTCAAAAGGACACCAGTCACAAGCCTGCAGCACATACAGAGGCTTTTCCAAAATGTGTCAGTTTATCTAGCTCAGACAGCCCCAGCCACGCAGCCAGATGGCCCAGATTACCAACTGGCCATACCAAGAGCGGCCTGGAATATGGAGGACCTGCAATATGTGCTGGATGCAACTTCAAAGAAAGCAAGAGTTTTGCCACTTGGTGCAAGTCCAGTGCATGGCACCTTTCCCCTCAGTTTCTCTTTCCAGTTTTGAGTCCTCCACCTGCTGCCCTACTTCATGGAACACAGACCACAGGCCTTCCCCTTCCTTCAGAAGGAACCCGTTCCATATTCAAAGACCTCTCTCTCTCTTTCAGTTTTTTTCATCTCTAGACTAACCAATCATGAATCACTTGGGATTTGATTCTGGGGTTTTTTAACAAATTCAGAAGGAGCTACAGAAAGTCTTTGCTGGATTCTTGCCCTCTGGGTAGGGGATGAATAAAAAAGACCCTTGGCACGAGCTAACACCACCCACAGTTTCTCCTCTCAAGACTGTGTTAAATTACTTTTAGAGTACTTTGTGATCTGAAGTTGTGTGTTTCCAAACTTGGCAACTGTCTTAAGACTGCTGGTACATTGCAGTTTGCAGAAAACAGCACTCAGGGAAAACCCACAGAGAGCTACAGAGACAGGGGGATCCTGCTTCTTCAGAGAGATTCTCCTTTTAGAGATTCCTAATGTTTCATTTGATCAGTTTGGAGGAGAGGTGGAGTCCTCTGCCCTTCACAGCACTTTGAAATGGCTCACCCCACTAAAGCCTGGGAGTTCCAGTTCTGCTGTCCCAGTTTATGCAACTCCAGGACAGGTGGGCCCTGTTACCACTGTGTCTATCACCAGTAATACTCATGGTGGGTTTAAGGCAGCCATCATCCATGCCAGACACCAGAGTCCAGGCAGTAAAGCTCTCCTTCTGTAATTAGATACAATTACTATCTACACAAAGTTCAATTAGCTGGATGTCATTGCTGAAATCAGGCATTTGGAGTACTGTGAATGTAAGCAAAATTATAATGACTTAGCCACCTTCCAATACAGTAATTCAGCATCACTTCTGTGACCTGAAAGGACCAGTGACACATTTGGGAGCTTTCAGGACAGAAGCTGCTCTAACACCAGTGTTCACATTCATACCTCATGGCATGAGATGTGTGATATGGAGCATGACTGGGTATTTCAGCTCACAGCCAGTGAGGTCACAACTTCGGATCACCACAGCCTGGGCTCCGTCACAGGAAACCTCACGTACACAGGGGCTACTGTTATCCAGAGATCAGCTTTGGTAGAGCATAACCCAAGTTTCTGGCAAACTATTTGGAGTGACTGTTGGGCCAGTCGGCAGGAAATGAGGTAAATTCAGAGACAGTGCATTTGGCACATCTCTGTTAATTGCAGTCTCTATAAAAACAGAGGTACTACCCCCTGCCCCTGGGCACCTTCTTTGCTTGTCGCCCTTGCTCCCGTCATCCTGGGGAGGATTTCACGCACCCGGAGGGCTCAGCCCCGCACCCGGGGGGCTCAGCC